AATTAAACAAAAGTTTAGACATTTGGAAATATATAAAAAGCAGGAAAAATGATTTGTCTTTTGAAAATATAATATTATATGGGAACCCTCAGCTAGAGGTGAGAGGAAAAAATTGGGGAGAGATGAGAAAGGAGGGAGAAAGAAAGCAAGAACAGCTGTTGATACTGTTCTATTTAAGCACAGTTTGACAAGTTATGGTAATAATAACAATATTAATAATAACAATAATCCATGGATATGTACATTCTCAATAATAACTGCAGCAATGATAGCAGTACCAATTAACAGAAATACATTTCTCATGCCTGGAAGCTAAGGAAGAACACATTGGTCCACATCTGGGAGCCATGACATTGGCTTGATACTTGTAAAACTGAGTTTAGGACCCCTTTTAAACACTTCGGCTCAGGTTATACCACTGCATTACTCTTCACATATCGACCTGCAAACAGTCTGAAGCCCTCTGCTGGTTATCTTCTCGCACCAGTTTTAAGACCAATACGGACTAATGTGAAATAACCTGCCGGGGGAACTCTATAATAGAGCTTCTTTCAAATCACTCCTGAAAATCCACTCTTCATTCCATTCTAATCTACCAACATGTGTGTTTGTGTAAATGTATATGCATGTATTTTATATTTCACTACGCAAATTTTTTTCAATTTCCTCTTATTGTTGTTGCTTATCACGCACACTCAGCACTTTACTAGGAACACACTTGCATCTGCTTATTTATGCAGCAATCCAAACAGCCAATCATATTGCAGCAGTGCAAAGTATAGAATCTACAGATCAGGGGCCTGTGTCAATGCTCATATAAAATGGGATCTCAGTGGCTATGGTGGTAACCTAATTGCTGGTGTCAGATGAGCTGGTTTGGGCATTTCTGAAATTACTGATCTCCTGAGGCACATGATTTGCAACAGCATAAAAGCATGTCAGGTTCCATTCAGTTTCTACTGAGGCTACAGATGATAGGCTCAGAATTTGGCATAAACCTGAGAGTGAACTTCTGTGGCCTCCCATTCCAAACATTATTTCACAATGACAAATAATAATATTAATATCAATAATAACAGTTTATTTCAAAACATTCCCAATAGGAAATTGCTGGGGTACTCCACATCCTACTTGCAAATCAAGAACGCTTTGTCTGTCGATTTTCAAGACAAGTAGTCATCTGATCTACTTGAGACTTGGCAGGTATATTTCTATTGGTTCAAGCAAGTGCACTATCAATTATTCTTGGCACCTTAACTGTGTTATGTCTGCACTTCCCTCCCACACTTTGTTCTATTGAAGAGATTCAGCACTTTTTACTAACAATGCTCACCTACACTCTTAAAACCTGTTCAATTGGGCGCTTTAGAAAACCAAAAGGTTATTAAACTCAAGGTCCCTCTGGATCAGTAAGGTATCTATCTATCTGTGCTGACTACTGACTGTGTTAAAGTTAAGCTAATAAGTTAGTTAAAACGTGTGTTAAGAAGTTTAAAAAAGTAAGTGCTCTGTTCTCTGTTAGCATGAAAACGGCATCAGAGTGAGTGCTCTGTACTCTTTTTAGTCTTCAGAAATAGCATCAGAGTGATCGCTCTCACCGCTCGATCCCGGTGCGCATCTTCCCCGTTCCTCCATCTGTGTTTCTTCAGATAGCTCCGTATTTCGACAGTTAAGCTCAGACAAGATATAAAGTGATACATTATGAGTGTTGCTGAGATATTTTCTGATATTATTCTGCCTTGGAAATTATTTGTATTTTTTCTGTAGTGCCCTGCAAGGCCCTGCCCTATCTATCTATCTATCTATCTATCTATCTATCTATCTATCTATCTATCTATCTATCTATACATACATACAATCATACATAACCAGGAACCCTTCATAAAGAGT